AAAGAGCCTATGGCTGCCTAACTATTAGGATGTTTGAGGAGATTTTAAAGCTTTAAAAGGGCTGAAAAATGTAGAAGTTATTTTGTTTGAGTTAGGCTTTACAATACATGAGTGTCACAAAAACCTTTTGTATAAAATAGTATTTTATTCATGTTAGTTTGATTTATTCTATTTGTCTTTCATCTGGCTTTCTACTGTATCTTCCTGCTCTAGTGCTGCTGATGTGCAGTTAAATGTAGAAAAACTTTGTCTTTTTTCACTTTAAAAGGTAAATATTCAACTTTTTTTTCACTTTATGCACCTCTTGTTTAAATTTACACAAACATGATTTATAAAGTGAATGGCCTAAATGCTTATCACCCACTGCATTTCATGCCAGAGTATGAAAGACGGGACAAAGTTAAATCTGTTCTGGTAAAAATTGCGTCATGCACAATCTCCTGAGGTGTTGGCTCTCATTACTTCCACATCAAATTATAACTTGATATGTGTAATATGGCAGCCATCTTAAATCAGATTGACTCCAAAATGTATTCAGCTGTAGTTGTACATCTAATGATTACTTTCTGAGAGTTTCATTGAATTCTGTCCAGCAGTTCAACGGATGTTTGATAACACACACAGCCCAAAATGGTCCTTTCACCATAAAGTATTTTAAGCTCGTTTTTTTTTTTTACAAATTTTTTTCGTACTTCACACACTGCAAGCTGTCCCATGCTTATTTACTGTATCTGGGGTGCCATTTGTAAAGTTACACAGTCAAAAATTAACAGCAATATTTTGGCTTTCATAAGAAAATAGTTTTGTTTTTTCAGTCATATTTTCACTATGTCATTCATACATTTACAAATGTCATAGTTCCAAACTAAATATTTAATTTAAAAGCTAAATATTTATTTTACAAATGTAATACTTAACTTGCAAGTTAAATAGTTAGCAAGCTATAAATATTTAATTTACAAATGTAATACTTAACTTGCAAGTTAATTAGCAAGCTAAATATTTAGCTTACAAACTAAATGTTTATGTCCTATAAATGTTTAACTTATAAATTTTTAACTTGCAAGTGTAAATTAAATATTTATTTTCCAAGCTAAATATTTATTTTCAAAACTAAATATTTATTAATTTCCAAATTAAATAATTATTGTCCAAGCTAAATATTTATTTTCCAAACTAAACATGTAATTTCTATGCTAAACATTTAATTAATAAACTAAATATTTAATATGCTAACTAAATATTTAGCTCGGACCTAAATATTTATTTTCCAAGTAAACCATTTAATTTCCAAAATAAATATTTAACTTGCTAACTAAATTTTTAACTTGGCCTAAATATTTATTTTCCAAACTAAACATTTAATTTATAAAATAAATATTCAATTTGCTAATTGTTAAATATTTAGTTTGTAAATTAAACATTTAGCTTGTGCATAAATATTTAGCTTGTAAACTAAATACTTAATATGTAAACTAAATATTTAGCTTGCTAACTAAATATTTAACTTGTAAGTTAAATATTTAACTTGTAAGTTAAATATTTAGTTAGCAAGCTAAATATTTAGCTTGTAAATTAAATATTTAGTTTGGAACTATGACATTTAAAAATGTATGAATAACATGGTGAAAATATAATTTAGAAAAAAAAAGCTGTTTTTTCCTTATGAAAAGCTAAATAAACCAAAATATTGCTGTTAATTTTTGACTGTGTAACTTTACAAACGGTACCCCATAGTTGTTCCATGCTACATTTTCAGTTTTATACTAAATTTGAGGGTCACATGTTTGAAAAATGTACTTATACAACAGGAGTTCAGTGTCATTAGAGAGGAAATTTAACATTTAACAGCATTTTTTTATAAAGAGCTGCACTTACTGCAGTCTCATACATTAGCTGACTTTTATTTCCATATCTGTCACACAGATTGTTGCCCTGTTAGCTGCTGAAAATCATCATCTGAAAAGTTTTCAGGGTGAAATATCTCCTGCAGCTTTCCAGGGAAAGATCCAATCACTTCTATTTTTAACAGCTAATCTGGCAGATTGCCTTTATAACCTTCTCTGCAACACTTTCTGTCAGCCGCAATCCCACAAGACCCTAAAATAAACAGTCTCACTGCTTGTTTCAGATTTCACCCCATTTCCTCCATAGTGTTAATATCCCATATTTTAATCTTCCCCAGACTATTTTTTGCTGGTACTTCTTAAAGCGCCCACCTACCAATGACAGTAAATCCTCTGGCTTATTTCTGCGTATTTGATTTAGTTAAGGTAACTCAGGGTGTAAGAGGAAAAAATAACTCATTGCTTTTTCGTAAATCTGTCACACTCTCCTCTTTCGCAGTCCCCCACAGACATCTGCACGGTCTGGCAGTCAATTACATCCCCTCACCTTCAAAAGGAGCCCGGCTCCTTCACTGCACGGGAGGCAGCAGAGCGCCGTATCAGGATCTGATCTTTATCCTTTTCTCGGCGGCATGAAGGGTGGAGCTGTCAACTCTGGATGGCTGTTAACAAGGCGGGAGGGTGAGGAGACAATTGTGATGCACTTGAGGAACAAAATGATGCTTGAATAAGGCAGATCAAGAAAACTCATCAAGGTGAGAAACCAAACAAACCTTATCTTACAGATGAGCAGGGTAAAAATGAAAACATTTTAGGTGATATGTTTCATCTGCAATGACTTTCTAAAAATTGGATAACAGGTTCTGTTTTTTTGCTGGTTTGTTGAACATTTGTCATCAACTTGGCAGCAATCAGACCAGAAAATCAGATTTAGAGCTTGTCAGTGGTCCATCATTCTTTCAGTTTCTTCTGCAGGGTCTTTCATCAAACACCTGTCTGACCTTGCTACCTGCTCATATCAGTACACAAGTTCAGCTAGTCTTGACAAACGGGTGGATCCAGGAGTGGGGCCAGCGGGACAGGGGCCCCTCACTGCTGACAGCTGACTGGCCACCCCTATATTCCTGTTCAGTCACTGACGGCTTGACTCTTCAAAGGCCCATCTGTTTGCTCTATGTTTTTTTTTTTTTTACATCAAAAACCACGTGACGTACATTTTACCATCCAGAAATGGTCTGTAAGGATTTGACAGGTCTCTCAAAGTGCACACCAGGATTATGGGACCTCATCAAGTGTCTGTACTGACATGCTATGGGGTGCCGTTTGTAAAGTTACACAGTCAAACATCAACAGCAATATTTTGGTTTATTTAGCCTTTAATAAGGAAAAAAACGTTTGTTTTTTCAAAGTCATACTTTCATCACATTATTCATGCATTTATAAATGTCATAGTTCCCAACTAAATGTTTAATTTACAAACTAAATACTTAACTTGCAAGTTAAATGTTTAGCTAGTAAACTAAATATTTAGCTATAAATTAAATATTTATTTTCAAAAGTACATATTTAATTTCCAAACTAAATAATTAATTTCTAATCTAAACATTTAACTCCTAAACTAAATATTTAATTTGCTAACTAAATATTTAACTCGGACCTAAATATATATTTTACAAACTAAACATTTAATTTCCATAATATATATTTAATTTGCTAACTGGGGAGTGGTGGCGCAGAGGTTGGAGAAGGTGGGCCTGTGATCAGAAGATCGACGGTTCAAGCCCCGGTATTGACAACATCAAAAATGTGTGTGGGGTACGTGAAGCACCCACACCTGCCCCCACCCTCATTCGCCCCACTCTGGGCCCTTGAGCAAGGCCCTTAACCCCCACCATCTGCTCCTCCGGGTGTCCTAGATAGCAGCTCTCTGCTCCACACAGAGGGATGTGGTAGCTCGGTGGTCTGTGGTTGCGTCAGGAAGGGCATCCGGCGTAAAAAAAACTGCCACATCTTAGTGCGACTTAGTTCGCTGTGGCGACCCCTATCGCAGGGAGCAGCCAAAAGAAGAAGCAGATATTTAATTTGCTAACTAAATATTTACCTCTGACCTAAATGTTTAGTTAGCAAATTAAATATTTAGTTTAGGAATTCAATGTTTAGCTTAGAAATGAATTATTTAGTTTGGAAATAAAATATTTAGTGTTGAAAATAAATATTTAATTTATAACTAAATATGAAGTTTACAAACTAAACAGTTAAATTGCAAGTTAAGCATTTAGTTTGTAAACTAAATATTTACATTGTAAATTAAATATTTAGTTTAGGAATTAAATGTTTAGATTAGAAATGAATTATTTAGTTTGGAAATAAAATATTTAGTTTTGAAAATAAATATTAAATTTACAACTAAATATTTAGTTTACGAACTAAACATTTAACTTGCAAGTTAAGTATTTAGTTTGTAAACTTAATATTTAGGTTGTAAATTAAATATTTAGTTGGTAACTATGACTTTTATAAATGTATGAATAACATGGTGAAAATATGACTTTGAAAAAAAAATTTTTTTCCTTATGAAATGCTAAATAAACTAAAATATTGCTGTTAATTTTTGACTGTGTAACTTTACAAACGGCACCCCATACAATGCATGTGCACAAGTAACACATTTAAAGGGTAGTGCTAAAGCAAAACACCAAAGTCCATGAGTCAAAAGAAAAAAAAATTGTTAGTAACTTGATTTGAAGAAATGTGTGAGGAAAAGACTGTTCTCCATAAATGAATAATCAACGAGTCAGGAACAAGAGGAACACAAAATCTGCACTGCAGCTGTGGTGAGAAATCATTTCTTTTCTTCCAAAAATCAAGTTAAGAAACCAGCATGATTGGAGCTGGAGTGTGACAGTGTAAACCAGTCAACCTATGTGAAGCAGCTGATCCAAAAATAGTCAAAAACTGAAAATTTACCACAGACAGTTCTTTAATTTCTTACAAATGATATTTCTTAAAACTATATTGGTGTATATATTTTATATGAAAAAAAGAGTCGGGGGATGATAAAGTGATTTAGCCATAAATGCAGCTGTTAATAAAAAGTGACGAGCAAGAGGCTGCAAGGAAAACGCAGCCAGCAGTGCTCCAAACTCCGTCACAGTCCATTTATGCTTCACTATAAATCATTTAACCAACAGTAACTGGACAAACACTTTAATTATGACATCTGACTTGGAAGATCCAACATTGTCTTGAGGTGAACCCATTACAAAATTTTACGGCTCTGATCTGCTTCTTTTACACTTGGTTTTATTTTGTTTTTATAAAAACTCAGCTGAGAACATAAAAAGTGAGTTGTCCTGAAGGTCTGCTCTTCTGCAGTTCAACCACTGGACCATTCTGTCATGACTGTCTCTGTCCCACCACATCAGTCCATGTTCTTCCTCTCACGCCAGGACTAGTTATCCTTTGTGTTCACCTGCAGGCCTTCATCCATGTGCAGCCGCTTCTTCAGCAGGTCCAATTTGTCGCTGACTAAAGCCTCTCTCAGTGCGGTGAAGAAGTTCTGGTAGTGGATTGTGTTGTGAATCATGAGCAGGACTCCAGCCAGCAGCTCATTGGTCACCAGAAGGTGGTGTACATACGCCCTCTGGTGGTTCTTACAGCAGTAGCAGCCACACCCCTCCACCAGGGGCCTGAAGTCGTCCTGAAACCTGGACAGAAGTTCAACGAAAGTTACAGCCGAGTCGACTTCTAAGCAGTCTCAGTAAATATAAATCAAATCATCAGGGCGGAGATTCTGCGAGCGCAGCTGCTTCTGAAAACTCCATGGGGTCTTTACAAACCCAGCAACGAACCTTTTGTCTTTGAGATTTATTTCAAAGCGTGTCATCTGCGTTTGATCGTCACAATTAAGATCTCCGTTCGGCTGCGTCTCCCCCGCGGCGTGCTCCCCTTCATCCAGAGCTGCCAAAACAGACGTGCGCCTCGTTAATTCCAACACAAACCGTTCAAGCCATAATCTCGTCCTCTGACAGAAAACAAGTCCCCAAAGACACGAGCAGCTTCAGAAAAATCAAACACCAATTATACCTAAACCTTCAGTAATACCTGCTGTGCTTCTCATTTCCTCCCCTACTCTAATATAAATGTTTACTGTCTATGCTGCAAATACTAACATCTGCTTCACACAAATGGGTGTTCCAATAAAGACTAATTAATTTACCGTACTTGCCACCGTACACGTCGCACCACCATATAAGTCGCATCAGTCCAAATATGTCTAATAAAGTGGGGAAAAAACATAAATACGTCACTTCGCCGTATAACCTGGAAATGTAGGCCGGTGTTGTGGCAAAAATCAATTAGCTGCTGAACAGCGGACGTGAGAGCGTGCACGGGAGGACTTCAACAAGAATTCAACAAGATTAGCAATTATTTGTTTGCTCAAAATTATAGTAAAAGGTGTGTCTCAGTTGAACTTTTCCCTTAATAAATGCACTATATTGGTCAAATCAGCTGCATTTTGCCTGGGTGGTGCAGCAAAATGCAGCTGATTTGACGTTCGCTCCAGGAGTTCTGGAGCGAGACGAAGGTGGCTTTGTATGGCAGGTCAAATGTCTCAATAATAGCCACTTTTACCTGTTAATGAGACACTTGGCTTGCCATACTGGTCGAGGGCCCTGTAGTGGCTGAAAATGGTAGTGTTCAATATTTTCCATGTCAGAATGAATGACATCGTCAGATCTCAGCCAAAAATGGGGTTATAAATATGGAAAAAACATGAATAAGTTGCTTTACCGTATAAGTTGCAGGGCATGCAAATTTATGCAAAAAAGTGCGACTTATATGGCGAAAACTACGGTAATAAGAATAGAGAGTACAACAGAGCTGAAAGCAGCAGCAGCTCTCTGACTCTCTGCAAACACAAAGGATGTAAGGAAAATAAGATTTGAGACTGAGCTGGACAAGAGAAAAATAAATAAAGTGGTCCACAGTGATGCATATGATTACACACTAAAAAGATTAAAAGGTAGCAGAGGTACAAAATGGATTTAGTGGATGCTGAAAGAAGTGAAGCAGCGAACTTTAGACAAAGCATAAAAGGATATTATAAGGTCTGTATGCAGTGTAGAGCTGGAGAGCTGATAAGAATGAGAAGAAAACAGGACAAAACGAGGCCAAAGATAGCAAAATGCAAAGCAGGGAGACGTAACGGAGCTACTGTAAAGATCAGTTCTGCTTTGTACACACAGAAAGCAACAACAGAAGATAATATGGAAACCAAAATAAAAGAAAATCAAAGTCTTTTCATGCTTCAAAGTTTTAAACTTTATGAGAAGAAGGAACTGAGCCGTTTTGGTCAAACTTTTTAAATGATGGTATGAAAAAAAATCATGCAAGGTGAGATCTGGCTAAATGTGTCAGCACTCAGTTTGTTGAGGTAGACTATTAGCTACTACCACACTAAAGTTTATTTAATTATAGCCATGTGTGCATTTGTTAAGGTTGCTTAATTGAGGCAGCCATCTTAAACAGGGCTGACATCAAAAGTTAATAAATTGTAGCTTTATTCCCAGTAGAGATGGGATAAATGGTTCTTTGAATGGAACCGGAGCTTGACGATCTGTGTGCTTCATAGAGCCGTTCAGTTTTGAACGAGTGACGTCATCATGTATGGATATACAAGATGACGCACGCCCTCAGAGCCGTTCCACGCATTTTGTCAATCTGCTGCACGCCACTGAAGATAAATCAGTCTCAAAGGCGTATGCGTTTTAATAAAAGGGGTGTTATGAGCTATTGGAGCTATTGTGCCAAGCCAGAAACGCCTCTTTTCTTAATAACTCAGTAAATCTGGTAACGCTCAGATGTCCCATCTTTTCACCTGTCTTGAACGCAGCATTACTGTGTTCGCTGTGAATCTGTAGTTGCAAGAAAGTTTCAAAATCCACATTCACAGGTAAGCTGGTCCGTGTGCTCATGGTGACAGATTCATGGATTAAACCAGAAAAAAATATTTTGACTGCAAGTTTTTCTACACCTAGAGGGTATTGTCCACCTTAATACCTTAGTAAAAGTACACAGTACACTGTGTACATGACCTTACTAAAAGTACACTGTAGTGTTCTCTAATGAAGCACCATCATGACCAACATCATTCTGAAGGAAGAGACGGGTTAAATAAATTTTCTGTAGTTTACGTTTATGTCATTTCAGTGTTTTCAGTTGAGGGGTTGTCAGATATATTTTAATAAATTATAGCACAGGAAGTCTTTTACAGAGTATACATTAATATAAATTGCTGTTGTAAATTTGTCAGACAGAGAGTTATTTCATAAAATGATTATTTCATTCAAAGGGATTATATTTACAGTATTACAGTATTAATCTCAAATGAGATGAAAAGGAGGTGCCGTAGATGCATTCCCGTCTCCTGCCTGTTGTGCTCGTGTCTGACCACTGACAGCCTGGGACTAGCAGGAAACACAGCTCGTGGCAGCAGAAGAACAGGACCAGCCCCCGGCACCTGCAGTGACGAGGAGCTCAGCGGGCTGCTGGGAGGAGTGGCCATCGCTCTGGGAGGAGTTCAGCCCAGCATTCGGGCGGTCCTGAAGCCTGAAAGAACTGAGAGACCAGCCGAGTCTGGGTGAACGGATTGCACGGCATCTGCGGCCAGTTTCTTCAGATCAGCTGTGGGACGGACCTTCACAAGAGATCCTTCCTGCCTACAGCCATCAGTATCTATAACGTCTCTTAATGAAACGAGGATAAAGAGTTACAACATTTAATTTCCCTTTGGGATTAATAAAGTATTTTTAAGTGAACTGAATTGCAGCTCATGTAATAATTGAATATTAATTTGATCATTTATTACATTACATTTATCAGAGTACAGTTACCTCTCAGTATGTTTCTAAATATAATCAAGTTTAGCTCCAAATAGCTACAACACCTTGTTAATGCAAAAACACCGTGCAGAAACGAATTTTTAAATATTTATGATAAACACCTGAAACAGATTCAGACAGAACTTTGTGAGTTTGGGGGAAAAAAATAAAAGTTAAACAGAGACACACATCTCTGCTATAATCTGAGGCATAAATAATCATCTTTTAGCCTTAATGTTGTAGATAAACTACAGCGGCAGAAACAGCCTCTCTCAGTGTGAGAGAAACTCAACAGGCTGCGCGCTCCCGCGGCAGTGCACGTTTCTCTCTCTCTGAATCAGTTTGGTCTCATGCACAGGTTGCACATGTCTATACGATGACGACGCTCTGAACATATTAACATTTAATACAACGTTAGATTTTAGATACAAAAGTCCCAGGAGGTCGGGGTGCAGTGCAGGAGGAGGGCGTGGGGGTGATGGTGTTTCAGTTCTAATATCTCCCCCGGCTGCAGTGAATTGGTCCCGTGTGAACACATACATTTAATAATTTATTATGTTATCCCCTTCAAGAAGGGGTGGGTGGTTCTGTTAGGGTAATGGGGTGTCCTCCTTGGCGTTCACCTGCAGTCTCTCGCTGCTGCTCACACCTGGGTTCACTGTGAACCGGACCATAGGACCCGCCCTGCTCTGCTCTGATTGGGTAAAACTATGACTGGTTCTTTTAATCGGTTGAAAGCACCATCAGTTTAATTCCTGTATCATCATTACGCTGGATGGTTTTAACAAGACCACAACGCACATTTGCTACCCTCCTCATTTTTACAGATGATGGAAATCCGTCTTGGCCACGTTCAAATGACCGAAGCACGTCTCGGTGACAGAGTATTCCACGCCGATTTGCCCACAACAGGTGATTTGTGCACGTGTATTTGAGATTTTGTATGCGCAGAATATTCCAACTTAAAATGTGTACATATGAAAACCCGTTTATGCATTTGTGAATCTTGTAGTACATTAGTCCCTCACTACTTCGCGGTTCGTTTTTCGTGGACTCGCTCTATCGCGTTTTTTTCAAAGTAAGAGTTGGACGTCAAACGCTATGGCTGATTGATGGATGAGCTGCAAGATGGACATGGATTTTTTTTATTTAAAATATATTATTTTAAATGATTTTGCACCTGCTGCACCTCTGTGCAGCCCACAGCTGTGGGAGAAGCTTCCTCCTGTAGCTGATCTCCTCTCTGCATGGAGATCAGCTGATCTCCGTGCAGAGAGGAGAAGTGAGCGTGGCCGAGAGTGCAGCCAGAGGCAGGGAGCTGAAATCACAACATTCTGTGATCTTTTAGAGCATTTACAGTTTAGAAACATTGTTTAGAATATTGCAAGCGTGTGGGAAGGGTTTAAAATGCCTTAACATATATGTATACATATTAGAGCTGTCATTTCTAACCCAAACCTGAAACCCGGCCCGGAACGACCTGGATTAGGGCCAGGCCGGGCCGTTATAATGTGATTAATGGGCGGGCCGGGCCAGTCTCGGGCTTTTAATTAGGTCAGAATCAGCTGTGATCCAATTATATGATCACATGGCCTGCCATAACCACCAGTCACAATAATAACTAATTAAAAACTTTTTTTTTTTCCAGGTTCGGACGTATAATTGTTAATTCGTCGGGTCGGGTTCAGAAATTATGACTGCGGGCTGGGGCCGGGTCGGATCGGATTTTTTGGGTCCGAATGCAACTCTAATGCATATGTGTATATAATTTGATGATTTTATATATATATACTATAATAAACTGTTATTTACCACTTTTACTGCTATTACTACTTTGCGGTTTTTCACTTATCGTGGGGATTCAGGGTACGGATCCCCCGTGATAAATGAGGGACACATTTGTAAAACTTGTAGTACCTTAAGGATCTTATTGTAGTCATACACATCTTGTACTGTGACTACTTTTGAGACTGATTTATCTTCATACAAATTCCTCCCCTTTGCCCGTTTTCCTTCGTCTCAGTGAAAAAGCGAAGGAGGTGCAGTTGCATGTGGGATTGAGGAGGAAAACATGAA